CCCACGCTGGTCTCGACCTGCTGAGCTTAAGTGATCCTCCTGCCTCAGCCTCTTTCCTACTTTTTTCTCTTTCAGTTTAAATTTTCATATAGCATTTTTAAAACTTAAGGAAATTTTCAAACTTACCCAAAGGTAGAGAGAACTGTATGATGAATCCCATGTTTCATCCATTTTCACTAGTTATTAACATTTGGCCAGACTTGTTTTATTTATTTATTTATTTATTTATTTTTTGAGGCAGAGTTTCGCTCTTGTTACCCAGGCTGGAGTGCAATGGCACGATCTCGGCTCACCGCAACCTCCGCCTCCTGGGTTCAGGCAATTCTCCTGCCTCACCCTCCTGAGTAGCTGGGATTACAGGCACGCGCCACCACGCCCAGCTAATTTTTTGTATTTTTAGTAGAGACGGGGTTTCACCATGTTGACCAGGATGGTCTCGATCTCTTGACCTCGTGATCCACCCGCCTCGGCCTCCCAAAGTGCTGGGATTACAGGCTTGAGCCACCGCGCCCGGCCGACTTGTTTTATTTATTCCAGCCTCCTGCCTTTTTTTTACTGGAGTTTTGAAAATTTATTTATTTGAGACAGTCTTGCCTTGTTGCCCAGGCTGGAGTGCAGTAGCAAGATGATGGCTCACTGCAGCCTCAACCTCCTGTGTTCAAGTGATTCTCTCATCTCAGCCTCCCAAGTAGCTGGGACTACAGGTGCTGTGCCACCATGTCCAGCTAGTTTCTGTATTTTTAGCAGAGACAGGGTTTCACCATGTTGCTCAGGCCGGTCTCAAGCTCCTGAGCTCAAACAGTCTACCCGCCTTGGCTTCTCACTGTGCTGGGATTACAGGTGTGAGCCACCTGCCCTGGCCTTGCTGGAGTGTTTAAAGCAAATCCCTAATGTCTTATTATGTCACACCTGAGTCCCTATCATGGCATAGTTTTTTTTGTTTTTTTTTTTTTTTTTTTTTTTTGAACAGCTCCTTGCTATATCATGGCATAGTTTTTAATTGAAAACTTCTTTAGGAAACATTTTATATTATACAAGGAAAACTAGCACATGTTGATGGGGGAATAAACAAATAAGGAAAAAGACAATAAAAATAATCTGTGCTTCTACTGCCCAGATATAACCGGCATTAAAATTTCATATATCTTTTCATGCTTTTTTTGATTATAAACATATAAAGCAAATTTTAGAGTGGAAAAAAAATCTCTTGTGTTTTTATTTAAATGCCGCCGAATCCATCCTGCGGATGAACTGAGACTGCCCAGCCCTCCCGTCTGCCTGGATTCGGAAGATGCTTCTGAGTCTTTTGCTTGAAGCTGGGCAGCTCTGAGCTGCTGGTGGCTTCAAGCTGTTTGTCTGGGTGGCAGGTGGTATCCTCCAGGGCCATGCCGTTGGGTCACAGGCTAGAGCATCTGAAGATCTGTTGCCTCACAGTGAGCACGTGTGCCTGTCACCTGAGCATGGCAGCTTCTGCTCTATTGACCAGGCACTGACTCAGTTTCCCCTAAGCAGTGGTGGCTAAGATAATTTTTCTTTTGGAAAAGTTTCAGCTGTGGCAGGGAGTCCTACGCACTTCCCAACGCCCCTGTTTTTGTTACCCTCCTAGGCTTGGAGAACCCCCTGCCTGAGCGTCCCCGGGAAAAAGAAGAACCAGTGGTTCGAGAGACAGGTGAGGTGGTCGACTGCCACCTCAGTGACATGCTGCAGCAGCTGCATAGTGTCAATGCCTCGAAGCCCTCAGAGCGTGGGCTGGTCAGGCAAGGTGGGTACTGTGGGCCCTGGGTAGGGCAGGATTGCTTGGGGCATCTGGAGAAGCCAGGAGTCTTGGCCAGCAAAGCACTGGTGACTTGTCCAGGCCCTGTCTCCATAGGACCATTGGTTCCCCATTTCCTGACATCCGAGGTCCTGCATACTGTGGCTCCTGCCTTCTTTTCTGATCCGTCTCTTACTCTGGCACCTTGATATGCCACCTTCATATGCTGTTTCCTTTGCTCAGTAAGTTCCTATTGTTTCTTCAAGACCTGTGAAATAACAGGCCCAGATGGGCTGCAACGTCAGGGCTTTCGACCCTGTGGCTCCCTGGCCCTGGCATGAAAGCAGACAGCACGTGGCTCACACTGTGGCCTCCTTCAAGTGTCTGTTCCAGTGTCACCACTGTGAGCATCTCCCTGGCCCATCTGCTAGTGCTTCTCATCCCCTTGCCTGCTGCATAGTTCTTCATAATACTTCTCACCCAACATAGTCCAATATATCCATCTTTGTTTATTGGATTTAAAATAAGGGATTTGTTGCATGCACTGAACATAACATTTTGATGTGTTTGCAACTGGCTTCTGTCTTCACAGTTTCTTAATTACTCCAAACTGGAAAACTAGATAATATCATCCTCTGATTCTTATCATGATAGAAGTCACTGACATTTTGCCCATACTTAATTAGTCTTTGTCCCCACAACCACAGTGTAAGCTCCGTGGAGGCTGGGGTTTTGTCTGTTGTTCACTGTACCTATGACAGTGCCTGGCAGGCACAGTAGGCCTTCAATAACTGAATCCGTCAGTGGAATGAAGGAGTGAGTGGAACTTGGCAGTGCTGTGCTGAGATTTTCTGTGTAGATGTCTGTGCTGCTGCTTGTCTGAGCCTGTTAGCAGTAGAGGCCCTGCTTTGCTCTTCTCTGGGGCCGCAGGCCTCTCAACTCAGCCCAGGTGGGGTGCTCAGCAAGATTCTCTGTTCCCTGGTGTGGGCCACATGTGCGAACCAGAGGGGAAGAGGCTGGTCCTGACCAATTGTTTGTCTGTTTCTGTCTCAGAGGAGGCTGAGGATCCTGCCTGTATCCCCATCTTCTGGGTCAGCAAGTGGGTGGACTATTCGGACAAGTACGGCCTTGGTAGGTTTCTACCAGAACAGGTGGGTGACTCAGGTACAGCCAGGTGACCTTTCAGTTGTTACAGGCTCTGGCTTTTTTGGGCTACCAGGTTCTCTTCTCAGTGCTCTCTTCTCTCCATCCCAGGCCTCCCAGTTCCAGCTCCCAGTGTTCCCCGACTCCCCTACTTTTTTTTTTTTTCTTTTTCTTTTTTTCCAGAGACAGGGTCCTGCTCTATCGCCCCAGCTGGAGTGCAGTGACACAGTCATGGCTCACTGCAGCTCTCAAACTCCCAGGCTGGCTCCTGGCTTAGCCTCCTGAGTAGCTGGGACTACAGGTGCACACCACCATGCTCCACTAATTTTTAGAATTTTTTGTAGCGATGGGATCTCATTATGTTGCCCAGGCTGGTCTCAAACTCCTGGGCTCAAGCAGTCCTCCCGCCTCAGCCTCTGAAAGTGCTGGAATCACAGGCATATGCTGCTGCCTCACCTGGCCCCACTCCTCACTTTCGATTTCCCCTTTCTGAGGCCTCTCTCCACCAATCTCTAGGGTATCAGCTGTGTGATAACAGTGTGGGAGTGCTCTTCAATGACTCAACACGCCTTATTCTCTACAACGATGGTGACAGCCTGCAGTATATAGAGCGTGATGGCACTGAGTCCTACCTCACCGTGAGTTCCCATCCCAACTCCTTGATGAAAAAGGTGAGTGCCATCCTGCCCAGGGAGTGTGGTATTGTAGGAGTGGGACTTGTGCTGGAGGGTCAGACTCTAATTCTAGAACCCCTACCCTACTTTTCGTCCAGATCACCCTCCTTAAATATTTCCGCAATTACATGAGTGAGCACTTGCTGAAGGCAGGCGCCAACATCACACCGCGTGAAGGCGACGAGCTTGCCCGGCTACCCTACCTGCGGACCTGGTTCCGCACCCGCAGTGCCATCATCCTGCACCTCAGCAACGGCAGCGTGCAGATCAACTTCTTCCAGGTGAGCTGGAAGTCACCAGGGGCTGGGGTAGGCTCCGTGTGCCTGGCAGTGGCCCATGTGAGTTGAGCGCGGAGTGAGCAGCTCAGGTGCCTATGCCTGTTGTGTCTTCCCTCTGCTCGCTAACATACACTGGCCTCTGGGATCGCCAATCACTGCCTCCTTCTCTTGCAGGATCACACCAAGCTCATCTTGTGCCCACTGATGGCAGCCGTGACCTACATTGACGAGAAGCGAGACTTCCGCACGTACCGCTTGAGTCTGCTGGAGGAGTACGGCTGCTGCAAGGAGCTGGCCAGCCGGCTCCGCTATGCCCGCACCATGGTGGACAAGCTGCTGAGCTCGCGCTCAGCCAACCGCCTCAAGGCCTCCTAATAGCCTCCCTCCCCTCCGGACTGGTGCCCTCCTCACTCCCACCTGCATCTGGGGCCCACACGGGTTGGCTCCCATGGTGCCATGTCTGCAGTGTGCCCCCCAGCCCTGGGGGCTGGGCAGAGCTGCATTATCCTTGCAGGTGAGGGTTGCTGTGTAAGTTATTTTTGTACATGTTCAGGTGTGGGTTCTATATCCTTGTCTCTTCCCCAAAACCCCACCGTATGAATTGTACAGAATATTTCTATTGAATTTGGGACTGTCCTTTCCTTGGCTTTATATACATTAAACAGATGCGAATCTTCTTTTTCTTGTATTTCCTGACGGGTGGGGACCTGGGCTCCAGGGAACATCTCTGCTTCATCAGCCCCAGGCCACCCAGTCTCTACCAGCCTTGGGGGGTGGGGGGGGTGCTTTATGAGACAGTGTCTGTCTACCAGGCTGGAGTGCAGTGGCATGATCGTGGCTCACTGCAACCTCAAACTCCTGGGCTCAAGGGATTCTCCCACCTTGGCCTCCCAATCAGCTAGGACTACAGGCGTATGCCACCATGCCTGGCTAATTTTTAAAATTTGTTATAGAGATGGGGTCTTGCCATGCTGGCCAGGCTGGTCGTGAACTCGAGCTCAGTTGATCCTCTCACTGCCTCCCAAAATGCGGGGATTACAGGTGTGAACCACTGCACCCAGCCTGGCAGTATTTTCTGATTCTGAGGCCAGCTACAGTCTCAACTCTTCAGCCAGCCAGCATGAAGACCATCTGTGTGGTCTCTGGCCCACCTCACCTCCCTGCGGCCCCAGGGCATGGTCCCCTGGCTTCTGAGGCTGGCAGGTAGTAGGGCAAGAAGAGACTCTCGGAGGCGCAGCTCCTCATGGCTTGGTGTGTGTGAAGGAGCAGCCGTGGGAAGCGGTTTGTGAAGTACTGGACGAAGCCGTCGGGGACTTGGCCAAGTGCCTGTCGCACCTCAACTGGGAGCTCCCTGTAGTGGTGTTTCTGGGAGGGCAGGTAGAGCAGAGAACCCTGGCTCAGCTGCAGCCAGGCCTCCCCAAGACCCAGGCCCACCCAGGCCCCAGCACACACCTTGTTCCTTACGGCACGCAGCAGGTCTCGCACTGACGTCCCCTTATAGGACCGGAACCTTCTCAGATCTGTGGACAGGGTATTCAGTGGCAAAACTGTCCCTTGGTGGGTTCCCCTCCACTGCCCAGGCCCACCCCAGTGTGGCCTCTACCTGTCTGCAGCGGCATGGAGATGTGTTCATGCCAGTTGTCCCGGACCACCGCACAACCTCCTGTCTCCAGCGCCCTCACCAGGGGCTCCTGCTCAGACTCCTTCTCCAGCCAGTCACTGACATCCTGGGGCCCAGAGAGCTCCTGAGCCTTGTGACCAGGGCCAGAGGCCACATGGCTAGGAGTCTGTTGTCTGACTTAGGGGAGTGGTTTAGGTGATTGACAAGGGTCATTGTCTCTGAGGGCGGGAAGCTTCTCTGTGCCATACCTCTGTTATTTACCACCAACCTATGAGCTTGGTACTGCTGTCCCATTGTACAGATGAGCAAACTGCGGCTCAGAGGCACAAAGTCTGTAGGTCAAGGTCACACAAGCGCACTGGGCTATAGGCACAGGCACAGCATGAGTGACAACTCAGGTGGAAAGGAATGGGCTATATTCCCATGCAAAGGGCAGCTGGGGCTGGGAAAGTGGCAGTAAGTGGACCAGAGAGTGCCAAGATGGTGGAGTTTAGGAGTCCAGGCTGGCTCCCAATTTAGGTAAAGAGCCAGGCTGCCCGGACTGGGTAGCTTCCTGTTTTCGCTCAGCCAATCTAACATCCCATTTCTTATTGCTCAGGACCCAAACTTAGGGTTTGGGGGCCATTCCCAAGCTTTCCTTCTTACCTGGAAGAACTGGAGTTGCTTGGCTCTGCTCCAAAAGAAGGGGTGGGCCAGCACATGGGCGGCAGAGGGGCGTGCCTGCGGCAGCGGGCTCAACATGGCTCCAACCAGGTCCCGGGCAACCACCTTGTCTGAAGGATGGAAGAGGAGGAGAGTCTGCTTCAGGCCTGCCTAGCATCTTGCCCTTCCTCCCTTCTCTACTGGTCCCAGGCGTCCCTCACCGTGGACCTCTTCCTCCAGTTGGGCCAGACAGGGAACTCCTGTGAGGATGTTTGCCTGGCGATAAAGACTCTCTCCAAAGGGGTGGCTGCCACCAGAAAGCACGTAGTAGAACACGCAGCCTGCAGAGAAGATGTCCACAGCGCTGGTCTGGGGCCAGAGAGATGGCGTGAGAAGGAAATCTCTGCTTCCAGGAAGTCAGCCTGGCTAAATTCTCCCATGGGCTGATACAGCAGCTGGGGTTTGGTACAAACTAGAACTCAAGATGCTTCCTAGGGAGCATCTCTCTGGCTCTAGATCCACTCCGTGTCTACACCATTATGGGGGGCCCATGGTCATCCAAAACCTTTGCCTCTGCTGAGCTAATTCAGGTTTCTAAGCTTCATTCCTACAGGTGTAAGCAGGTAGCATAACGTGCCAGGCATGAGGCAATAAGGTGATCAGGAGGACTGTGATAAGCTGGCATGGGCTCCGTCTGCAGGGGCAGCTGGTCCTTAGCTCCAACCTGTTGTCACCAGGTGACTCTCCAGGGTAGCAGAGCTGGTTTTTGTTGTTGTTTTGAGTCGGGGCCTTGCTCATGTTGCCCAAGCTAGAGTCCAGTGGTGCAACTAAAGCTCACTGAACCTCAAACTCCTGGTCTCAAGCAGTCCACCTCGGCCTGAGTAGCTGGGACTACAGGCATGTTCCACCATGCCTGGCCAATTTTGAAATTGTAGAGATGGGTCTCCTTATGTTACCTAGGCTGATCTCTAACCTCTGGCCTCCAGCAATTCTGATTTTTTTTTTTTAAAGAAAATCCAGATATCCAGATTTTATGTGGAATTTCCCAAATGTTAAAATATTGGGCTGAGTATGGTGGCTGACACTTGTAATCCCAGCATTTTGAGAGGCCAAGGTAGGAGGACTGCTTGAGGCCAGGAGTTAAAGACCAGGGTGGGCAATATGCTGAGACCCTGCTTCTACAAAAAAAATAATAACACAAAAATTAGCCAGGTGCCATTGGTGCATGCTGGTAGTCCCAGCTACTTGGGCTTTTGAGGTGAGAAGATCCCTTGAGCCCAGGAGTTCGAGGCTGCAGCGAGCTGTGATTGGTGCCACTGCACTCCATGACAGAGTAAGACCCTGTGTCAAAAATATATATACAGGGCCAGGCGCAGTGGCTCACGCCTGTAATCCTGGCACTTTGGGAAGCCAAGGTGGGTGAATTACCTGAAGTCAGGAGCTCGAGACCAGCCTGGCCAACAGGGCATAAACTCTGTCTCTACCCAAAATACAAAAATTAACCAGGCATGGTGGCACAGACCTGTAGTCCCAGCTACTATGGAGGCTGAGGCAGGAGAATCACTTGAATCCAGGAAGCGGAAGTTGCAGTGAGCCAAGATCGCGCCACTGCACTCCAACCTGAGCAACAGAACAAGACTCAAAAATACATTAAAAAAAAAAAAAAAAAAAAAAAAAAAACTCAAAAGGAGAAAAAAATATATATGTATTGGCCACTAATTTAAAAATAAACTGTACAGTCTCATGACATCAGCATTTAGTCCTTGAGCCCAGGTCACCACTTTGAGCTTTCTCTCAACTTTAGGAGTGGGGGCAGCCTTCCCTGGTGACTGTCCTTTTGTGTGATTGTCATCCATTTCTCTGGCTTTCACTTCTGCCCACACACTGTGACTCAAAATCCATAATTCTGGGGTCCCAAATACAAGTGTCTCTGTGTGGGTCCGACGCTGCTCTGCATATCAACTAATTAGCTTATCTGATGCCCTCCAGAACCCTTGACACCAGTGGTTTTTGAACTTGGCTCCACATTAAAATGACCTGGGCAAATTAGGTCAGAATCACTGGGTGTGGGGCCCGGTTTTTTTTTTTTTTTTTTTTTTTTCCTTTGAGAGAGAGTCTCACGGTGTTGCCCAGGTTAAAGTGCAGTGGCGTGATCTTGACTCTGTAACCTCCACCTCCCAGGCTCAAGCGATCCTTTCACCTCAGCCTCCCAAGTACCTGGGACCACCTATGCACACTCCCACACCTGCTAAATTTTGTATGCTTTTGGTAGAGATGGAGTCTCCCTAGGTTCCTCAGGCTGGTCTTGAACTCCTGAGCTCAAGCAATCTTCCTGCCTTGGCCTCCCAAAGTGCAGGGATTACAAGGGTGAGCCACCATGCCCAGCAATAGGCATCCTTTTTTTTTTTTTTTTTCTTTTTTGAGACAGTCTCACTCTATTGCCCAGGCTGGGGTGCAATAGTGCAGTCTTGGCTCACTGCAACCTCTGCCTCCCAGGTTCAAGTGACTCTTCTGGCTCAGCTTCCTGAGTAGCTGGGATTATAGATGCACACCACCACATCCAGCTAATTTTTGTATTCTTAGTAGAGAGGGAGCTTCACCATGTTGGCCAGGCTGGTCTCAAACTCCTGACCTTGTGATCTGCCTGCCTTGGCCTCCCAAAGTGCTGGGATTACAGGCATGAGCCACCACGCCTGGCACACATCCTTTTTTAAGTTGCACAGCCTGGGGCAGCTGTGTACCTGGAGGACTTGGTGTATAGACTCACAGGACTGTCTGGTGGCAGGAGCTGCAGGAGCTCGGGTGCCATCCAGCCTTCTGTGCCAGGGATGCCCGAGTGGAGGCTGAAGCTGCAGCATCCAGCAGGAAGCTTCTTGCAGAGGCCGAAATCTGAGAGCACCACCCTGCCCAGGCCCTGGCTGTCAGGCCCAGTAATAAGAATATTGCCTGGCTTCAGGTCCCGGTGCACTGTGGGAGGGGGGCACAAAGAGAGCTGGTTGCTGAGGGCAGAAGGCAGGGGGCTAAGGACAGAGAGTGGGAGGCAGGGGCAGTGCGGTGTAAAGAGTTTACCTATGTGTAAAGAGTGCAGGTGGGCCAGGCCAGACATCAGCTGCTGCAGCACCACCTCAGGCTCCAGTCCCCCGTGGTCCAGGTCTGGGTTTTCTACGTACTGAGCAGCAGCAAGGGGCAAATTATCACTCTCCAGCCGGGACCTTCCCACCCACGCTCCCTGAGCCGGTAACTCACCTCCTGCAAGGAGGCCCTGCAGAGCTCCAGGGCAATGTAGTGGAACTGGGGTCCCTGCTCGGTGCAGAAGTAGCGGAGCACGTTGGGGTGCCTGTCAGACTCCTGCAGCAGTTGAACTTCCCGCTGAACCAGAGCAAAGCACTCTCGGAGGAGCCGCTTGACAGCCACTGCCCGTCCCTCAAACTGTCCCCTGGAAGGTGAGTGATGGTGGGGGCAGGGGGACATTCAGAGAGAACAGATAAAGGGCCAGACACCATGGCTCACAGCTGTAATCCTAGCACTTTGGGAGGCCAAGGTGAGAGGATCACTTGACGTCGGGAGTTCGAGACCAGCCTGGCCAACGTGGTGAAACCCCATCTCTACTAAAAAATTACAAAAATTAGCCGGGCTGGTGATACACACCCGTAATCCCAGCTACTGGGAAGGCTGATGCCTGGAATTGCTTGAACCAGGGAAGCAGAGGTTGCAATGAGGTGAGATTGTGCCACTGCACTCCAACTTGGGCAACAGAGCAAGATTCAAAAAAAAAAAAAAAAAAAAGAGAGAGCAGATAAAGGAAAGAGCAGAACTGGTGAGTGAGGGATTGACCTGTACCTACCTTGGGAAGTCTTTGAAAGAATGGCTCTCCCGGGGACAGTGCCCATGAGGGCTGTGAGTGCTATGTCTGCCATGTCCCCAGTTTGGCTCCTGGCTGCCACTCACCGGAAAACGAAAGTCCCGCCTGCTCCACGGCCCAGCACGTCCTTGGGATTGAAGGAAATCTTCCCCACTACGGTGAGTTGCTCAGCTGGGGAAAAGGAGGGTGGTGACTCGGGGAGCCTCTGCCCACCTTTGCAGGCCACTGGCCTAGTCCAGACTTGCCTTGACCTTTTCTGGGCCTCCACTGCCCATGCTTAGCCTGGTGCAAGGTGAGCAAGGGCCCAGGATCCAGACTGTCTGGGTCCAATGCCTGGTGCTGCCACTGACTCTTGGTGTACTTAGGCAAATTCCTCACTTCTGTGCCCTCAGTATTCTCGTCAGTAAAGCAGGGGGGCTAAGGTTAAAGAGCCCACACAACAGTATTGTGAGGATTAAATGGATATGCGGAAAGAATGGGTAGAGGTGATGTTTGCTATTTTATCCTGTTTTATCTCTCTCCCTCTTTTGGCATCTTCTGCAGAGGGTTTTTTTTTCTTCTTTACATCTTCTGTCATTCTGCCCACCTCCACTAGTTGTAACTGATTTTTTTTTTTTTTTTGAGACGGAGTCTCACTCTGTCACTCAAGGTGGAGTGCAATGGCGTGATCTCGGCTCACTGCAACCTCCACCTCCCTGGTTCAAGCAATTTCCCTGCCTCAGCCTCCAGGGTAGCTGGGATTACAAGCGCACACCATCATGCCTGGCTAATTTTTTGCCTTTTTAGTAGAGATGGGGTTTCACCATGTTGGTCAGGCTGGTCTTGAACTCCTGACCTCGTGATCCACCTGCCTTGGCCTCTCAAAGTTCTGGGATTACAGGCATGAGCCATCTTGTAACTGCATTCTTTTAATTGACACTGAATCAGCTTCAATATCAAGGGCAGGTGAGTGCTGGCAGTTGGAAGTATGATGAAAGTGAGCATAGCCACAGAAAAAAGGACCAGACAGAAGCAGTGGGCATTGGATGCTAACCTGCCTAGAGTTAGTTCCAGGGCAGCAGGGAGCCAGATACCTTGGTTTCCCATTAGGATGGATGGTTGGCTCAGGTGGGCAAAGATATGTAGATTGGGACAGTTACTGACCTTCCCTTTGGGCAGCGTGTGCGAAATGTCTCACTCTGACCCTGGCAAATCTGGGCAGGCTGAGTCCTGCTCAGCTCCAACAGGTACTATTCATATAGCAAAATGTACATGGCACCCCTAGAGTTGTGCAGTGCAGTGGTCCTAAGAGCGTTCTACTTTGGAAGAGTTTCTAGCTTCATTTTTTATAATCAGCTCTAGGAAAAGTAAATGAAAATCAGTGTGGCTCACACCTGAAATCTCAGCACTTTGGGAGGCCAGAGGGTGGATTGCTTGAGTTCAAGACTAGCCTAGGCAACATGATGAAACCCCATCTTTACTATATACATTATACATACACACACACACACACACACACACACACACACACACACACACATATATTAGCCAAGTGTGATGGTATGTGCCTGTAGTCCAGCTACTTGGGAGGCTGAGGTGGGAGGGGGGGATGGCTTGAGCCTGGAAGGCAGAGGTTGCAGTGAGCTGAGATCATGCCACTACTACATTTCAGCCTGAGTAACAGAGCAAGACCCTATCTCAAAACTAATAATAACGAGAAAAAGAAAATCAGCATTAGGGATCCGTGAGAAAAACTCCAAGCTGCACCTTAACGTTCCTCTGGATTATTTGCTTAGAGTTCACACTCATCTGTCAGCAAGATGCAGGCAGTACCTTCATTGCTATACACTAGACTTTCTGGAATGGACGGGCTCAGGCAGGACCCTGCTGGAAGCACATCACCCACATGTAGGAAAAACAGGCAGATCAGAGAGCAGGGACAGAGCTGCTTGAACAAACCCTGCTCATCTGCCTCCTCCCCTCCCCTCCCCTCTCCTCTCGGCCCTCTTTGTGTCACTGGTTCTGCTGGACTCACAGGCTATTGTGTATCTGCTCTCAGTGCTCTCGGCATGGAGTAAACACTTGCTTATAGTTTCCTGGGTTAGATGTTCAGAAGCACCCTCAAAGAGAGAGGCCAGACTTATGGCCACAAGGGCCTTCAATGCAAATATAATGAGCTAGAGAGGCTCAGTCTGTTCACACAGATATTTGCCATCACTTTGCTCAGGCTTTTGCATAATTATAACGGAGAGGCAGCAAATGTGGAAGTTTTGGTTGTTGCTGTTTTAGAAACAGGGGCTCACTCTGTCACCCAGACTGGAGTGCACTGGCGTGATCAGAGCTCACTGTAACCTTGAACTCCTGGGATCAAGCAATCCTCCTGCCTCAGTCTCCCAAACAGCTGGATTACAGGCACGTGCCACCATGCCTGGCTAATCTTTTTGTGTCTTTAATTTTTGTACACATGGGGCTTCACTATGTTGCCCAGGCTGGGCTCAAGCAATCCTTTCACCTCAGCCTCCCCAGTTCAATTCTAAAGTAATCAAAAGTTGTTGTATCGGGGAGAAAGGACATATAGTCAGAATTACCTCTGGAAATCCTGAATACACATGATATACTTTGCTGCTGCTTCTGCACAGGTTGGGGAGCACTTAACAGTCAGTCACATGTTTTCACAGGTATTTGCCAGGTATTGTTCAAACAGGGGCACTATCCCACAGAGATTAGGGCACATGCTGGAGCCAGCCACATGCATTTGGACCCCTGAGCTGGGACTTACTAGCTTTGTGAGCCAGGGGTAGAGGTGGGAGTTGTCACTAAACCTTTCCACCTTAGTTTCTACTCCCATAAAAGGGTCATTCTATAATAACATTCGCCTCACAGGAATGTTATCTCATGAGTTAATGCATTCGAAGCATTCAGAACAGTGCCTGGCATACAGTAAGCACTATATAAATGTTAATTCTGGTTCAGGCTGGATTGCATCCACTTGTCATTGAATACATGATGCAGCCAGAGGTCCTGAGAAATGCCTATCCAAGCACATGTAGATTAATTTGTGTACTTTTTTTTGAGATGGATTCTTGCTCTGTTACCCAGACTGGAGTGCAGTGGCATGATCTTGGCTCACTGAAACCTCTGTCTCTTGGGTTCAAGCAATTCTTGTACCTCAGCCTCCCCAGTAGCTGAGACTACAGGCACCCACCACCACACCAGGCTAATTTTTGTATTTTTAGTAGAGATATGATTTCACCATGTTGGCCAGGCTGGTCTTGAACTCATGACCTCAAGTGTTCTGCCTGCCTCAGCCTCTCAAAGTGCTGGGATTACAGGCATGAGCCACCATGCCCAGCCAAATTTGTGTAAGTTAAATGAAAATTGGGTGTGACTCCAATGTAAGTTTTGTGAATCATATAATACAGTCCATGAGGACTTTGACGAGAATAACTCTGGAGTTACCCAAAGATGGAGTCCCATTTGTCTGGGTAAAGAGGAGCCAGACTCAACTTGAGTCAGAAGGTCCATGGAGATGGATGTTTTGGGGTACAGTGAGGTGAATATTACTTGGACCCACCCAGGGCCAGTAAAATGACAAAAGCTATAGCAGCTCAGGGCTCAGGAAATCCTGCTGTGGGCCCTCTAAAAGAGCTGACCCCCCGAGGAAGGGGAGCTGTTTTCCTCTGGGCTAAGGCACAGTGACCACAGAGGGGGCCCTTGTGAATAGCACCAGAGCATCAAGCCACACATGGCACAGAGAAACCTGAGAGGGGAACGGCAGAGTGGGGCCAAGGTATGAGGAAGTGGCTTGAGCGGTGACCAGGAGGTGCCAGGACAAGTTCACAAAGGCAACCGAAAACACGAGCCCAGCCCAGAACCTATCAAGCAGAATTAGCCTGGGCTGATTGGTAAATGCACGCAAGAAGGACCTGGAGCATGCCAGATGCCAGAGGAACCTTGAAAGGTTCACAGCTCACTGCAGCCTCAACCTTCTGGACTCAAGCAGTCCTCCTGCCTTAGCCTCCTGAGTAGCTGGGACCACAGGTGCACATCATCATACCCAGCAAATTGTTTGTATTATTTGTAGAGATGGGGGTCTCCCTATGTTGCCCAGGTAAGTCTTGAACTCCTGGCCTTAAGCAATCCCCCCCTTGGCCTCTGAAAGTTCTGGGATTACAGGTGTGAGCCACCACACCCAACCTAAAAGGGCTTATTTATAGGACTAAATTGAGAAAAGGTAAGAGAAGGGTTTAAAAAATAAAAGACGCTAAATTATATGAAGGCCATTTACTATTATTGTTACCAAATATAATATCATTTTAACATGCATATTAATAATATTACCTAAGTATTATTTAATAATAATGATTGTAACTTCTAATGATGAAATGATGTAATGAGCTGGATGTTATTATTCCCATTTGACAAATGAAAAACTGAGCGCAAAGGAGGTAAGCAGAGAACAGCCTTGGATCTATACCCTGTTCTATCTATATCCAGATTCCTTAAAAATAATACAATAATGAGCTGGGCATGGTGATTCACACCTGTAATCCCAGCACTTTGGGAGGCTGAGGTGGGAGGATCTCTAGAGGCTATCAGTTCAAGACCAGCCTGGGCAACATAGTGAGACCCAATTTCTGCAAAAATAATGTTACAATTAGTGGGGCATGGTGGTGCACGTTTGTAGTCACAGCTATTTGGGAGGCTGAGGAGGGAGGATTTCATGAGCCCAGGAGCTTGAGGCTGCAGTAGGCTATGATGCCTGGGTGACAGACTGAGACCTTGTCTCCAAAAAAAAAAAAAAAAAAAAATCAAAAAAATGACAGCAGACATTTCTAGAGTGCTCAACTACATAGCAGGCTCTACTCAAAACACTCTTATTAATTCATTTAGACCTAACCACCCCACTGTAGTGGCTTTTAATAAACCAGGTTTGCAGTTAAATCTGCCCCTTGATTTTCTCTGCTCCTAACTGCCCTGTCTTGTTCACTCAAGCTCACCTTCAGGGTCGTCGAGTGGCTGGGCTTGCTTTGAGGGACTTCGGAACCTCTTCTGGCTCCTTGGGGTGGCCCCCGAGTGCAGGGACTGGGCGTCCTGGGAGATGTGAGAAGAGTCTGCAGGGGTCAGAGGAGTCTCTTCCTGCTTCGCCACCTGTGGCTGCTGCTATAACACAAGAGCCTAAGAGAGCTCTGTCCTTGCCATGCCATGCCCCATGATAGGCCCAGTATCTGTGACTGAGATGGGCTCACCAGGCAGCATGAACTTACAGAGCAAGATCACAGGGGACTGGGGAGCTGCTGGGAAGGAGGCAGGGGGCAAAGTCAGAGCTGGGTAGAGGGAGAGAGTTGCTGAGTGGTCTCAGAGAGGAGGAGCATTACTCCCAGATGGACCTGAGGTCAGGGCAATGGGCCTACCTGCCTCATCACAAAGAGAATCCACCCTCCCAGGAGGACAGCAGTGAGGCTAGCTGCCAGCAGGTCTTGTGGGCCCAGTCCCAGGTAAGAGTCTGGAGTTTTCTCTTCTGGATGCAGCTTGGAGTCCCAGAGTTTCTCTCGGCTCAGGCTCAATAGCTGGGGATAAAGCGCCGTTCACTTTTAGCACCTGCTTCCACCGGGGAACCCCTAACCTTTCTTCATCACCAGCACAGGGCTAGGCTTAATTGAAGGGGCAGTGAGTAGTCTGCATATGGTGGGAAACATGGCACTCTCCATGGTGCTGAAACATCATTGTGCCCGGAAGAGTGGTTTTCTAAACCTACCCAATGACCAGCATTTCATGGAATGTCACTAAAAAATACAGGTACTCTTGGAATGTCACTAAAAATACAGATATCCTTTTCTAGAGATTTTAAATGTGTTGGCGCTGGAATGAGCTCCCAAGTGATTCTGATGAGCAACCAGATTTGCTCTTGGCCATGGCTGTTCCTTCTAACTTTGAGCTACTTACCAGTGATTTTGGTTCCTCCCTCTCCCAGGAGCACATGCTTTTTTTTTTTTTTTTTTTTTTTTTTTTGAGACCGAGTTTCTCTCTTGTTACCCAGGCTGGAGTGCAATGGCGCGATCTCGGCTCACCGCAACCTCCGGAGCACATGCTTTTATAGCTTTTGTTTTCAATTTCTCACTTAATGAATACTTTACAGTTTTTACACTGAAGAAGAATAAAGAAAATGTGACCCATGTTTCATGATTTAGGTAGTCAATATCTTTTTTTTTTTTTTTTTTTTTTTTTTTTTGAGATAGAGTCTCACTCTTTTTGCCCAGGCTGAAGTGCAATAGTGCAATGTTGGCTCACTGCAACCTCGCCTCCCAGGTTCAAGCAATTCTCCTGCCTCAGCCTCCCGAATGGCTGGGATTACAGGCATGCGCCACCATGCCTGGCTAATTTTTTGTATTTTTAGTAGAGACGGGGTTTCTCCATGTTGGTCAGGCTGGTCTTAAACTCCTGAACTCAGGTGATCTGCCTGCACTGGCCTCTCAAAGTGCTGGGATTACAGGCGTGAGCCACTGTGTCTGGTCTTTTTTTTTTTTTTTTTTTTTTTTTTTAAGAGACAGGGTCTCACTGTGTTACCAGTGTAGTGGTGTGACCATAGCTCACTGCAGCCTCAAATTTTTGGGCTCAAGTAATCCTCCTACCTCAGCTTCCTGAGTAGCTGGGACTACAGGTACACACCAGCATGCCCCACCAATTTTTAATTTTTTTTTTTGTAGTGATGGGGTCTTGCCATGTTACCCAAGCTAGTCTCAAACTCCTGACCTCAAGCCATCCTTCTACATCAACCTCCCAAAGTGTTGAGATTATAAGCATGAACTACCATGCCCAGACATATTTTGACACTTCTAATGTGTTTCCGCCAGTAACAACAACAATAACAACAACAACAAAATGTTTGTCTTCTGGGAAATTGTGTGAGGTCAATTGACCCATCTCCAACTGTTATTCTTAGAAGCCCGAGGAAAAGGTCCAAGGGCTGCTCCCCTATCTGCTGGGGCCTCCCTGCCCCCCGCTCTCTGCCCTTCCATCACTGACCTCCAAGAAGGCTGGGGCCTGGGTGTTCTCTGGGGGTCTTGTCTCTGCAGTCCCACTCCCTGGGGTGGGATGGACCCTCAGCATGGTGGTATGCAGGACTGGGGGTAGCTCGTGGTGTCCTAAAGTGGGGGCAAAAGTCATCAGGTTGAAGGGAACCTCGGCCTTCCAGCTCAGAAGCTGGGCTCACAGGTTTTTTATCTTCATCTACTCCCAATTTGGGCCAGAGGATCTCACCAATCAGCAGCCACTGGCTTGGGAGGGCCACGCTGCCTGAGGGGTATCTGACATCAGTGCTGGGTGAGCCCTCTCGCTCTCCTGAGACTTGGAGTGTCACCTCATCTGTGGTAGGGCCATCTGTGGGGGCCAGGGTCAGTCCACGAGGCTACAGCAGAAGATGGAGAGCCATGAGTGAGGGAGGTTCTTCTGTTCATCCTCTTTCAGCCCACTCAGAGACCACTTCTCACCACCAGGGCCACTCCTGTGTGGACCAGTGCTTTAGAGACATAGAAGCCAGCTTCATCCTTTCCCACATACAGTGTCATCCTAGCGGGAGGTAAGAAAAAGAAGAGAAGAATAAATGCTGGTGGTGAGTAGTTTCAGTTATCAGGGTACTCACACTCTTGTATATTTCTGTCTCACATTGACTCTTGGCTTAGCCATGAGACTTGCTCTAATCAATTAGACAACAGCACATGTGACATAAGTAGAAGCTTGAAAAGTACTTGTGGCTTGAGGCTTCCTTCTGCACTGTTCTTTGGAGCCCTGAGACCATCGTGGGAGAAAACCCAGGCTAGCCTGCTGGGGTGTGAGAGACCTCTTTAATCCTCCATAGACCAAACAGTCCATCAACTATGAGATAGGTGAGTGAGGCCATCCTAGATTCTCCAGACTCAACCAAGCCACAAGCAGACTGCAGAAAAAACACCTACCCAGCTGACCCACAGAATCTTGAGGAATAATAAATTGTTGTTTTTTAAGCTCTCTGTTTTGGGGTGATTTGCTACGCAGCTAAAGCTAGCTGATACATGCTCTATAATCACAATTTCAAATCTGTCTAACCCAGACCTCTTTCAAGAGCTTAATTTTCCACATATAAACTCATTATATCATTCTTTACCTCTTCCTCCTTCTTCTCCCCCACCTCCTGTAGTGTTCCCTGCCTCTGAAAATGATAGCACCCATGAGCTTCTAGAAACCTGAGCATGATCTTTGACTCCTTGCTCACAATCACCAAATTCCCTAATCACCAAATTTTTACTGGGTTTTCCTTCTAATATATCTTATATAACCAGAGGCTATTTCCCTCTATAGAGTTTCTGCTCTAGTATAACCTATCTTCATTTCTTGCCTGAACAAATCAATATTCCATGAATGGTCCATTTCTTTCCATATACCACTCTAAGATATTCTTTCTAAAATGAAAATATGACCAAGTCACTTCCTTCCTTAAAACTCTCCAGTGACTTCTCTCTGGCTTTAGGAGAAAATGTCCAAGCCTTTTAAATGATCCTACAAGATCCCTGCTTAGCTTATAACCTCAGACCCTACTCCTTGCTCAGGTCTGTATTCCAGTCTTAACTTTTTCCTGTTCCCTGAATTCCATGCTCTCTCATCTCTCTCATTTCCTATTCTTTTTTCAGGTTTTAATTTAGATGTCCCTTCCTCTGGGAAGCTTTCTATGACTGCCTCCTGTCCCTAGTCTCGATGTGGGTACTCTTCCTGTACATTGCCATGGCATCTTATACTACTCTCATCTCATCCTTTATCATGTCAGGTTGCAATTGTCTCTTTACATGTCTGTCTCTCCCACTAGACTCGGGTTCCTGCAGGCAGGAACAATGAATGGGTTATTTACTATTGCACTCCCAGACTCTAGTGAGACTGGCACACACTAAGTGCTCAGTTAATATTTGTAAAATGAATTGAAATGAATACATAGATGATCCCTGATCTTCCCAAGCTGTCTACTTGTTTTTCAAGATGGGGACACTAAGGTGTTAGATGCAATAAGGGTATTATTTAAAGTATTTTGCAATCCATAAGGCACAGCACCTACCAATTAGAACAGGTTAAGACCTGAAGTCCACCTCTGATATGGTTTGGCTGTGATCCCACCCACATCTCATCTTGAATTCCCATGTGCTGTGGGAGGGACCCCGTGGAAGGTAATTGAATCATGAGGGTGGATCTTTCCCATGCTGTTCTCGTGATAGTGAATAAGTCTCACAAGATCTGATGGTTTTATAAAAGGGAGTTTCTCTGCACCAGCGCCTCTCTTTGCCTGCTGCCTTCCATGTAAGATGTGACTCGCTCCTCCTTGCTTTCCACCATGATTGTGAGGCTACCCAGCCACATGGAACTGTAAGTCCATTAAACCTCTTTCTTTTGTAAATTACCAAGTCTTGGGTATGTCTTTTTTTTTTTTTTTTTGAGACAGAGTTTTGCTCTAGTTGCCCAGGATGGAGTACAATGGCATGATATTGGCTCACTGCAACCTCCACCTCCCAGGTTCAAGTGATTCTCCTGCCTCAGCCTCCCAAGTAGTTGGGATTACAGGCATGCGTCTGTAATACAGCTAATTTTTATATGTTTAGTAGAGATGGGGTTTCTCCATGTTGGCCAGGCTGGACTTGAACTCTCGACCTCGGATGATCTGCCTGCCTTGGCTTCCCAAAGCGCTGGGATTACAGGCGTGAGCCACTGCACCTGGCCTGGGTATGTCTTTATCAGCAGCATGAAAACAGACTAATACACCCTCCTAGGCCAGATCTTACCCTATGAGTTGCTGAACAGTGGGGGTTACCTAGGGGGTCCTGGGAACACTTGGAGGACAGCACAGGACACTGGTTATTTACCAACCAGTTGGGTAAGTAACCAGTTTGAGATGTTTTGACCCCTGCTTCAGTTGTACTGGTGTGTCACAGCTGAACAACTCGCCTGGCCATCAGACCCAGGCTGCAACCCTCCCAGACAGCTCCTTCCCCAGGCCCCAGATACCAACACCTACAGCAGCTGGGTGTCCGAGGCAGAGAAGAGGGTGGCCGTGTTCCGGGGGCCTGAGGCAGGCAGTCGGATGTGGCCCCAGCGGAGGGCAAGGAAATGCAGGGTGTCTCGAGCCAGTGTGAGATGCGGCAGCTGGCGCAGGCCGTCCTGGTGCCAGGTGTAGATGCCCATCACAGGCACACCCAAGTCCTGTGTCCACAGCACTGTCCCGCTTCCTGGGTCCACAGTGAGCAGGAGGCCCATCCCACAGGATGCCAGGTGGCTCATGTCTGCTGAGAAAGGTGGCTGGGGAGAGGTGGTTGGAGGCTCTCCTAAGAGAGTCCAAGGGTGGGCCCTCTGGGTGAGGGGGTAACTCAGGTGTGTGGGGGTCAAGTGAGATCACATGGAGGGTTATCAGGATGTGAGAAGTTTTGTTGGAGTTCGTGGGGTCACTTTGAAAATAAGGCGATCAATCAGGGTCATTCAAAGGTGACTCAGGTGTGTGGGAGTCCGTTTGGGTCACTTAGGATGTAGGGTATTGCTTATGGTCAACAGATGGTCACCTAGGATGGATCAACCAGGGTGGCCTGGAGGCATGTGGGTCACTTGAGAGTCAATTAGAGTGTGAGAAGGGTCGGCTGGGGTGTGTAAGTGACTTCACCTCTGATAAGGTGATCTGTATAGGGTCTCATGCAGAATGATGAAATAAGGGATTGGGGTGCCTTAGGGGCACCTGCAAGGTCACTCTGGTAGTTGGGTATCAGTCATAATATCAAGGGGGTGGGTCAGGTGCATTGGCTTATGCTTGTAATCTCAGCACTTTGGGAAGCTGAGGCAGGAGGATCACTTAAGTCCAGGAGCTTGAGACCAGCCTGGGCATAGCAAGACCCCATCTCTACAAAAAATTAAAACATGAGCCAGGCTTGGTGGTGCACACCTGCAGTCCCACCTATTAAGGAGGCTGAGGATAGAGGATCGCTTGAGCCCAGGAGTTGGAGGCTGTGGTAAGCTATGATTGTGCTACTGCACCCCAGCCTGGGTGACAGAGTGAGGCCCTATCTCACAAAAAATGCAGAGAGTGGTCAGGATCACCTGGGGAGTCAGTCTATGGATGAGGCTACTTAGGGTCAGCTTTCAGGGGTTATATGTAGGGGTCAGGACATGCAGAGATTGCTTAGGGGCTGTTTGGGGTCACTTTGAATATGGGAGGTCATCCAGGGTTACCTGGTTGGGGTCACTTAGAGTATAGAAGTTAGGAGGTTGAGGGATTGGCCAAGGTTCAGGAGGATCAGTCTGGGTCTTGAGGGAATCATTTGGGGTCAGCCTTCAGGGGTGTGCCATTCAGTACATGGGGTCCCTGGGGAGGTCTAGTGGGTCAAAAAGTGGCTGGCAACTGGTCATGGATGCTGTTCATGGTTTCTCTGGTTGGGGACCTTGCTCCTTGATGGGATCAGAGAAAGGTGGAACTCACATTTCCCAGGTGTGCTATCCATGGGGGGTGCTGAGTAGCGGCGGTAGGTAGGTGTTCCAGCGAAGGGCCGGGGCCCTTGGGTCATGCATGGTGACCGTATACTCTGGGGATCCCAGAAGCAAGATTATCAGGAATGCCCATGTGACGCTCCCTCCAACCCCAGGGGCCATTTATCTTGCAGGAGTGGGGGTTTCCCAAGAACACAGCCTGGAGGTCTGGAAGCCTGTGAGCATCACAGTGGCAGAGATGGGAGCTCTTGTTTAGAGCTGTATCCCCAGCTCCTAGTTCAGTGCTCTGTACAATGTTTATTGATGACTAACAGACTGACTGGCCTGAATTCAACTTGGTTAGCAACAGCCAGATCTCAGCAGAGCAAAAGGGAAGTCTGCCTGGAGCTTAAATGAACAACTGGGGCCTGACTCACGTGTTCGGCCGATGTAGAGACGAGGGGTAGGGGGACCCTCTGTGGTCAGTGTCATCTGGGTCTCCCCTGACTCAGGGTCTACCACAAACCAGGCATCCTGCTTCCGGCCTGTGGAGGTGGAAAGCATTTTAGTGCCCAAGTTGGCATGGGAAGGGGTGTGGTCTCATGACTCCTGTGCCTAATTAGCCCGTCATGACCTAGATCCCGGACTCTGCTGGCTGAACCTGGACCCCACAGGCTAGAGAGATGCTTACCTGTGTAGAAGACCCCATCAGAGCTGCGGCAGGGAGAGGCATGAACCAACTCAGGGATGGTGAATGGCAGTTTCTGGGAGAGGGAAAATTTCCAGGAAGGAGTAAGAGCAGAAACATACAATGCTCACTGTGCCAGGTGAGCCCATTTCCATAGCAACCAATTAACAGGAACTACTATCATTTCCACTTTTTAGGTAAGGAAACTGGCTTGGAGAGGCCATGTAACTTGGTTACCATCACACAGCTACTAAGTGGCCTTGAACCCAGGCAGTCAGCCTCCAGAGCCAGCACACTGAATCATTTTGATACACAGCCTCTTGAGGAAATGCAGAAATTCCCATACCCAGTGTCAAGGTACCACATGAGCCAATTGCTCCTGGACTGACCTGACCTCCTCCTCAAAAACTTGCACTGGGATGGGCATGGTGGCTCATGCCTGTAATCCCAGCACATTGGGAGGCCGAGGAAGGAGTATTGCTTGAGCCCAGGAATTCAAGACCAGTGTGGGCAACATGGTGAGACCTTGTCTCTACGGAAATTTAAAAAAAAAAAAAAAGAGCTGAGCATGGTGGTGCATGCCTATAGTCCCAGCTACCAGTGAGGCTGAGGCCGGAGGATAGCTTGAGCCCAGGAGTTCAAGGCTTCAGTGAGCTCTGATTGTGCCACTGCATTCCAGCCTAGGTGATAGAGTGAGACTGTCTCTAAACAAAATAAAACAGACAAAAGCAAAAACAAAAACACCTCACACATAAGTGGGGAGTTTAATTCAAAAAAAAATCCAACTCGCATGGGTACTTAAAAACTGTCAATAGCCATGAGAGACTCGGAGAAGTGAGGAGTTGTTCCAGAATAAAGGTGACCATGGCCTGATGCTGGCTAGGAGTGGAGATCAGATCCACTCTCCTCCTTCTCCCCAGAGCTGGACTTGTCTGGGTTATGTCTGTGGGCACCCTGTGCTCTGGCTTCCTATTGAGTCTGAATAATGGGGACAGGGTGAGATCAGAGTATGCACTGGTTTCCTCGCCATGGAGTCCTCACGGGCTGGCTGTGTCCCTCCACTGAAGCGCTGAGGTCCCACTGGGTGGTGCTCTCAGAACATCTCTCTGTAGTTCCAGGCTGCGGTAGCTGCTCCCTCCCCAGCCTCCAGAATTAGGGCTGATAATGGCACCCCACTGTCATGAACCAAAGGATACCACACAATATGGTTGGGATTTGTGTCCCCACATAAACCACCTGTTGAATTGCAATCCCCAATGTTAGAGGTGGGGCCTGGCAGGAGGTGATTGGATCATGGGGACAAATTTCTCCATTTGGTGCTATTCTTTTTCTTTTTTTTTTTTAGATAGGGTCTTGCTCTGTCACCCCAGCTGGAGTTCAGTGGTGCCATCTCGGCTCACTGCAATCTCTGCTTCCTGGGTTCAAGCGATTCTTCTGCCTCAGTCTCCCAAGCAGCTGGGACTGCAGACATGTGCTACCACACCTGGCTAATTTTTGTATTTTTTGGTAGAGATGGGGTTTCACCATGTTGGCCAGGCTGGTCTCGAACTCCTGACCTCAGGTGTTCTGCCTGCCTTGGCCTCTTGAAGTGCTGGGATTACAGGCATGAGCCACTGTGCCCAGCTGGTGCTGTTCTTGTAGTAGAGTTCTTACGAGATCTGGTTGTTTAAAAGTAGGTGGAGCCCGGGTACGGTGGCTCAAGCCTGTAATCCCAGCACTTTGGGAGGCCGAGGCGGGTGGATCACAAGGTCAAGAGATCGAGACCATCCTGGTCAACATGGTGAAACCCCGTCTCTACTAAAAATACAAAAAAAAAAAAAAAAATCAGCTGGGCATGGTGGTGCGTGCCTGTAATCCCAGCTACTTGGGAGGCTGAGGCAGGAGAATTGCTGAACCCAGGAGGCGGAGGTTGCGGTGAGCCGAGATTGCGCCATTGTACTCCAGCCTGGGTAACAAGAGCGAAACTCCGTCTCAAAAAAAAAAAAAAAAAAGTAGGTGGCATCTCCTCTCTTTGGCACCTCCTCTCTTTCTCTCTCTTGTTCCTGCTCTGGGCGTATAAGACATGCCTGCTTCCACTTCGTGCTTTCTGCCATGATTGTAAGTTTCCTGAGGTGTCTTCAGAAGCAGAAGTAACTATGCTTCCTGCACAGCCTGGAGAACCATGAGTCAAACCTGTTTTTTTTTTTTTTTTTTTTTTTTTTTTTTTTTTTACAAATTACCCAATTTCAGGTATTTTTTTTATAGCAATGTAGGAATGAACTAATATACTGCACTATCCCTTGTGGTTTCCTAAACTCTGCTCACACCTTTAACAAAATGTCCTCAAACTATTCTATTTGAGTATGCCATGTGAGTATGCCAAGTTGAGACCCTGCCTGATTCACACACTAAAATTTCTTATCACTTCCTAAATCACATACTTAAGACTTTTTTGGCAGGCTTTCCCTGCCATGGTCAGAATTCTGACAAAGAACTGGGTGTGGTGGTATACACCTGCAGTCTCAGCTACTCAGGATACTGAGGCACCAGGATTGCCTGAGGCCACAAGTTCGAGGCTGCAGTGAGCTATGATAATACCACTTCACTCTGGCCTGGACACAGAATGAGGTCCTGTCTTTTTAAAAATTAAAAAAAAAAAATCTGACAAAGCACATTCCACCCCATTCAGAGTCCTGATGTGGAATATTGCAAAAAATGGCCACAGATTTCTCTTCATCTTATATGCATGTCCCTTCATATGGTGACTTCTCAGCTCCTTCCATAAAGAGATGGAGCCTGTTTTTTCACCACTGGACTCTCAGCTTGGCCATGTGACCTGCTTTGGCTGATGAACTATTATCAAATGTGATGTGAACAGAAGCTTGAAAAGTGCTTATGTATTGCAGCTTTGGGGTCCCTTGTTGACACCATGTGAACAAGTCTAGGATTGCCTGCTAGGGATAAGAGACACATGGCCCAGCCACCCCTGCCAAAAACCAGCCAACTACCAACCAACTTTCAGAAACAGAGCCATCCAACTGACCAGCAGCTGACCATACATGCATGAATAAGTTCAATCTAGACCAGCAGAAGGACCACTGTGCTAAGCCCAGCCTAAATGGTCATCCCACCAAATTCTGAGTTAAATAAATTTAGGTGATGTTTGGGTTTTAAGCTCTTGAGTTTTGGGTTGATTTGTATTTAGCAAAAGCTAACTGATATATACATTTCTCCTTAAAGCCCTCAGAGTCCTGGAGAAGCCCCTGGGATACCCTCAGTTTGACAGTCAGATTGCCCTGCAGACACAGCCAGACTTCCCCTTACCACCTTTGTAACAGGTCCCTCAGACAGCCTTCCCACAGTGTGCTCAGTCCTGACTTACATCCTTTGCAGGACGGGAGATACTGACCAGACTCCTTCTCCACCTCTCAGTGCTCCAGCTGACAAAAGCCCTGGCCCTCACCCTTCCCGAACACCATGGGAAACAAACCATTAATCCCTGTTGTTTTTGGGTCCCCAAGATGTACAGGCTGCCATCAGCTGGGTCAGACAGAAAGGCCATTCTGTGGAGTAAAGAGGAAAAAGAAGATGAATGGGTGCCTGCACCCTGGTTTCATGAAGGCCCCAAATTCCCTCCAACTTCTCAGCTAGTAGAAGCCTATTCTTGTAGGAGACACCTTGGGTCTCCAAGACCCTCCCTTATATCACTTCCAGAACCAATTCTCTTCCCTTATTTCCAACATGTCCCCGTCCCACACACACACTCTCTCTAGACAACTATGGGTCCCCCATCTCCCAGCTGCCTCCTCCTTAAAAGGCCCCAGGTTTACTTACTCTGTGACATACGTTGGTCCTTGGACGACAGGATCTGCAGGGACAGGGACACAGAGCGTGAGCAGCTCCCTCCAGACTCCACTGAAAAGCACAGCTCATATTCACTGAGCTATGGCATGAATGTAATGCCATTACTTGACATGAATGTAATGCCATTTTCCCAAGAACTCTGTCAGATAGGGTCATATCTTTTGCCCCATTTTACAGATGAGGACATTGAGGATCAGAGAGGTAAAGTGAGTTTCTCAAGGCCACACATCTGGTAAGCAGTGAAGCTGCCTGTCGATACCATTGGATTCTAGAGTCCATGTTCTCTCTCTCTCTCTCTCTCTCTCTCTCTCTTTTGAGACAGTTTCACTCTTGTCACTCAGGCTGGAGTGCAATGGCACGATTTCAGCTCACTGCAACCTCTGCCTCCTGGGTTCAAGCAATTCTCCTGCCTCAGCCTCTCGAGTAGGTAGAATTACAGGCACCCACCACCAGGCCCAGCTAATTTTTGTATTTTTAGTAGAGACAGGGTTTCACCATGTTGGCCAGGCTGGTCTTGAACTCCTGACCTCAGGTGATCCACCCACCTCAGCCTCCCCAAGTGCTGGGATTACAGGCGTGAGCGACCGTTCCCGCATGTTCTTATTCTCTATACCACAGTGACTCCCCCTCCACCAATCTATGGGCCCAAGAAGGGAGGACGGACCACCTCTTGCTCACCATCCCTCAGAGTCCACTTCAGGTCCCCTGTCTGCTTGCTCAGTGCATGGAGACTTCCATCCAAGGTGGACACCAGCAGGAGGCTCTCTGGCCTTAGAGTATGAACCTGTAAGGGGGTAGGGACAAAGTCAGCTCTCTCAGGGGTCTGGGACCACCCTTTGCTCCTGTCCCAGACAGGGCTGGCCATGACTTCCCTTCCCCCCAGATGGGAACAGAGCAGGGGAGGAAGGGTGATTGGGGAAAACACTGGTGTCACTCATCATCTCTTTGACTCTAGAGAGGGGTTACAGTGGGGGGAGGTTTTGGCTCCCACGTATCTAAATTCCCAATTCCTTACTTCCTCCCTCAATTCATTCTGGTTTTCCAAAGAAGACTAAAGGCCTTTGCAAAATGACTTCATTGTTTGCTTTGTTTCTTTTTTGTTATTGTTCTTGTTGTTTTAATATAGGACAGGGTTTTGCTCTATTGCCCAAACTGGAATGCAGTGGTATAATCATAGCTCACTGCAGCCTCAAACTCCTTGGCTCAGCTGATCCTCACACCTCAGCCTCCCAGGTAGCTGGGACTACAGGTGTGTGCCATCACGCCTAGCTAATCTTTGTACTTTTTGTAGAGATAGGGTCTTGCCATGTTGTCCAGGCTGGTCTGGAACTCCTGGCCTCAAGTGTTCCTCCTGCCTCAGTCTCCCAAAGTGTTGGGACTACAGGTATAAGCCACAGCACCCATTCTAAGACTGGTACTATTAGTTTTCCTGTTCTGCAGGGGAGGGAGAATGAAGCTCAGCAAAGTTAGGTCATTGGCTTAAAGCCACAGAGATAGTAAGTGGCAAAACTCTGGACTTGAGTTGCCATCTCTCTGATTCTTATGGCTGGCCTCTTTTTCCTCTGCCACAATGTCAGCCTCTTTTAGGATGCCCCTTTCCATTTCCCCAAACCAGCCCAGCTGGTTTTAGTGCCAGGCTCCAGTGGGTCCCCTGACCCAAACCTGGGGATGGCTGTGAAAGTGGGACTGGAGCCACCCATACTTATATCTGGCGCTTCTGGGCTCAGTCACCTGCTCCAGCCCCTCCTTGAGCAAACAGGGTGAGGCTGAACTCCCAGCAGGAGGCCTAACATCCGGGAGGTCCAGCCGCACCCCTGCAAAGGCCACATCCTGCTTCAGGACCCTCAGGTTTGGGGCCGAGCCACTGGTGTTGAGAGGAGGGTCAGGAAACTGCTAGCCCCTCTTTCTTTCTGGGCCTCAATTTCGTCATCTGCAGCACAGCAGGAGGGAGAACGGTCTGGAGAAGAGGCTGCAGAGTGGTTGCCCACAAATGAATTTCGTTTGACCATCTAGTGCTAAAAAATGTGTTTTCAATTAGCTGCCAATGAAAAAAAATGGGACGATTTATAAAAAATAAACAAGCTTTCTCATTTTTCTCATTTGGAATTTTTCTGGAGACTCCCGATCTGGCCACACTGGGCTTGCATTCTTAGCTGGCAACCATGAGATGCACCCATGAGGTGGGAGGGGGAATGGGGTGCCTAACTCAACCTGATTGCTTTCACCCCATGGGGGGTACCGGCCAGACAACTGGATTCTCGGGCCAGGCGATTTTTGCCTTCTGGCTGCATTTCTGTAAACTCTTCTATTCCTGGCACCGTGGGAGCAGATACCCACACCCCCAGCTCATTTATCTCACAGGTTCTGAACCTGGGGTGCAGCCATGGGTAAGGGGACCCCAATGTAAAGCCTCTGAAATTGCAAACTGGGCGTGCAGGCGCAGTTTTCAGCAGAGGGCTCTTAAGTTAATCATATTTTCAAAGGAAGCCAGGATCCCCAGAAGTCTGAAGAGGCCTGGCTTTCGTGCCCGGGTGCCCATCCCCCGCCAGACGGCACCCCTTCCCGCAGAAGAGGCGGGGTGCTCGGTCTGCTCTCGTCTTTCCACGCTGGCAGATCTCTCCAGCTAGGTATTTGCTGGGGGCAACTGACGACTCCCCAAACCCAGGAGACTTTCACTCGGGTCGGGACCCAGGCCTGAGAGAGGGAGAGGGACCCCCATGGGCCAGCCGCGCCCTCGCTCATAGCGCGACCCCGCCCCCTGCGCCCCACGACCCGACTGTGGGGACTCGGCGTCGGTCCCTAGCTCTCACCTGTGGACTCAGCGTCCCGAGCAGCGCCGCGAACTGGAGCAGGAGCCCCAGCCGGGGCCACGGCCTCGACCCCCTGACCGCGCTCGTCATAGCGCCTGGGCAGCCACAAGGCCGGCCAGGTCCCTTCGTGCCTCCAGGGTAGCGCACGGTCCCCGCCTGACCCGGAGGAGACTCCGCCCCCGGCTGGGCCTGCAATCCCCAGCCTGGAGTCCTCTCCTGTCCCCGCCCTTCTGTTCACACTCCCAACCTCATCCTCGCGCACGGTGGGGAGCTTTCCCGGGAGAGAGAATTTTACTGAGCCCACTTATGGAGAACTTACCACATGCAGAGGGCCCCACGGGTTCATCCTCGGCCCCTGGAGCCCTCGCCGCACCGCAGGCACAAACGGAGGCTCGGATCCGCAGTCCAAACACAGATCCGCCTGACCTCAAAGCCCGTGCTCTTCATCACTGCACCAGTGCACCGCGCTGAGCTATCAGGGAATAGAGATTAATTGGTGGTTCAGTCATTCGTTCAACAAATATTTATTATGGGTCAGGCAGGTGGCTCACCTCTGTAATCCCAACACTTTGGTAAGCCTAGGAGGGAGAACCACTTGAGGCCAGGAGTTCGAGATCAGCAACGTAGTGAGAGCCCATCTCTACAAAAAACAAACAAACAAACAAACAACAACAAAAAAAAACTAAAAACAAAAATAAAAAATTGGCCAAGTGTGGTGATGTTCACCTGTAGTTCCAGCTACTTAGGAGGCTGTGGCGAGATTATCACTTGAGCCAGGAAGGCAAGGCTCCAGTGAGTTCTAACTGTGTCATTGCACTTCAGCCTGGGCGACAGAGAGAGACCCAGTCTCCAAAATAAAATAAATAAACAAGGAAACATGTATGTATGTATTTTTTGAGACAGAGTTTTGCTCTTGTCACCCAGGCTGGAGTGCAATGGCGCGATCTTGGCTCACTGCAACCTCTGCCTCCTGGGTCCAAGCAATTCTCTTGCCTCGGTCTCCCGAGTAGCTGGTATTAAAAGTGTGTGCCACCACGCCCAGATAATTTTTGTATTTTTACTACAGACGGGATTTCACCACTTTGGCCAGCCTGGTCTCAAACTCCTGACCTCAGATGATCCGCTGTCTCGGGCTTCCAAAGTATTGGGATTATGGGCGTGAGCCACCGTGCCCAACCAATAAATATGTATTTATTATAAGCGATTACATGCCTGCCTTGTGAACAAGAGTGATGAGTTCCCTGTCCTCATAGAGCTTAGAGATCCCTATGCCTTAGATGCAAGGCAACGCAGCATGGAAGGCACCTTGTAATGGCAGTGACCACCCTTGCTCCTGGTAGACGTCTCTAGTTTTGTTCAGAGAGGGCCTGCCAGGGTCCTTGAAGGCAGGGTGCACTCTGTTTGCAAGTTTTGACTCATTCATGTCTCCTTTGTCCTTGCGTTTAAAAAAAAAAAAAAAATCCCTGCTGCTTTGAGGGTCATGTAGCCCGGCTCTGCCACCTTCTCCCCCTCCTCTTTGTCATCCTTGGTCCTCCCCTCCTAGTTACTGAAAACTTGGTAACTTGGCCCCTAGCCTTCATCTCCACCCCAAATCCTGCCACTCTCCTTGGCGTCTTCAATGTCTGCAGATACAGCCTAACCAACACGGCAGCCTCTCAGTAGCTGTACCTCGTTGGAGACCTTATTCCCCACACCACCACTGCACGTTATGCCCTGGGCCCTTGTACACTCAGAACCACTTTCGCCCCAACATCCCTTTCTCTGACTGCAGCCTCCTCTCCATGCAGCGGTTTCACCCTTTCATTCTCCCTATCCCTATGGCCTGACTTACGTGGCACCTTTGTTCCGCAGTCTCTCCCACTCTGGTAGTCCCTTCCTTGTCCCTATCCAGCTTGGACCTCCCCGCTGACCGTCTGAAGGAACTGCACCACTGTCTTAGGCTGGGTTTCCTAGAAACCCAGTTGGGATTTTCGTGAAAGTTATTTCACATTAAGCCATGTCAGGTTCAGGAGTACAAGACCAGCCTGGGCAACATAGCAAGACCTTAATCTCTACAAAAAATAAAATAAAATAAAAAATACACCAGGCATGCTGGTGTGTGCTTGTAGCCCCAGCTACTTGGGAGGCTGAGGTGGGAGGATCCCTTGAGCCCAGGAGTTCCAGGCTATAGGTAGCACCACTGCTCTCCAGCCTGGGCAAGAGAGTGAGACCTTTGTCTCTAAAAAACAAAACAGGCTGGGCGCAGTAGCTCACATCTGTAATCCCAGCACTTTGGGAAGTCGAGGTGGGTGGATCACCTAAGATCAGGAGTTTGAGAACAGCCTGGCCAACATGGCAAAACCCCATCTCTACTAAAAATACCAAAATTGGCTGGGCGTGATGGCACACACCTATTATCCCAGCTACTCGGGAGGCTAAGGCAGAAGAATTGCTTGAACCCAGGAAGTGGAGGTTGCAGTGAGCCAAGATCACGCCATTGCACTCCAGCCTGGGGGACAGAGTGAGACTCCATCTCAAAACAAATAAATAACAAAACAAAAACAAAGAAGTATGTACATCATGAAGTCTTTGATTTACTTGGTTGCTCTTTCATGCCTAGCTGTTCCAGTACCCCTAAATTGGCCCAATAGTCCTAACTTTATAAAAAAAAGTGATTGCTTGCCACCTACAGGACCCAACCCAAGCTACTGAGTGTGTGAATGAACCCTCTTTCTGCTCTATACTTTGTACACTCTGCATTGTTTTGAAATGTACATTGTAGTTACTATGCTTGGATTCAGGCATTTCCCATGCAAAAAAATCGACTTGCATGGAATACAAAATGAACTGAAATAAATTGTTGTGTGTGTGTGTGTGTGTGTGTGTGTGTGTGTGTGTGTGATGATAAAAGTAATATACATTCTAGGAGAGAAATCCAAGATGACTGATCACTAGCAGCTCGGGATTGTGGCTCCCAGTGAAAGCACAGAGAACGAGAGGACGCCACACTTTCAGATGAATTCTTGTTGCTCACATACCAGAAGATTCCCAGCGGAGGAGCCCCAGGGGTCGCCAGTGCAACTCTTGTGGCTGGTGAGGTGGTTTTACCGGTGCCTTGGAGCGGTGGTTCTTGGTGCAGAGTCAGAAAAGCACCATCAATCTTAACGCCGCTGTTTTAGCCAGTGCAGTGGGTTGCTCAGATTCCGACGCTGCGAATCAGTAAGTTGGGCGTCCACTCAGAAATCCAATTACAAAGACGGTAATTATAAAGACCACAGATGGATAAATCTAAAACGAAGGGAAGAAACCAGCCTAAAAAGGCTGAGAATACCCAAAATCGGAACGCCTTTCCCTCTACAGGGGATCACAATTCCTCATCAGCAACGGATCAAGGCCTGATGGAGAACAAGTGTGTTCCATTAACAGAAGCAGGCTTTAAAAGGTGGATGATAAGAAACTTCTGTGAATTAAAAGAACTTGTTCTAACCCAATCCAAAGAAACTAAGAACTTTGAAAAAGGTTTGACGATATGTTAACAAGAATACACAATTTAGAGAGAAATATAAGTGAATTAATGGAGCTGAAAAACACAACACGAGAACTCCGCGAAGTATGCACAAGTTTTAACAGCCGAATTGATGAAGCAGAAGAAAGGATATCAGAGGTCAAAGACCAACTTAATGAAATAAAACAAGAAGACAAGATTAGAGAGAAAAGGATAAAAAGGAACGAGCAAAGTCTCCAAGAAATATGGGAATATGTGAAAAAACCTAATCTACATTTGATAGGTGTACCTGAATGTGACGAAGAGAATGAATCCAAGCTGGAAAATACGCTTCAGGATATTATTCAGGAAAATTTTCCCAACCTAGTAAGGCAGGATAATATTCAACTCCAGGTAATACAGAGAATACCACAAAGATGTTCCTCAAGAAGACTAACCTCAAGGCACATAATCGTCAGATTCACCAGGGTTGAAATGAAGGAGAAAATACTAAGGGCAGCCAGAGAGAAAGGTCAGGTTACCCACAAAGGGAAGCCTATCAGACTCACAGCAGATCTCTCAGCAGAACCCTACAAGCCAGAAGAGAGTGGGGGCCAATATTCAACATCCTTAAAGAAAAGAACTTTCAACCAAGAATTTCACATCCAGCCAAACTAAGCTTCATAAATGAAGGAAAAATAAAGTTTTTTGTGAATAAGCAAGCACTCAGATTTCATCACCACCAGGCCTGCTTTACAAGAGCTTCTGAAAGAACCACTACACATAGAAAGGAACAAACAGTATCAGCCTTTCTAAAAAATACCAAAAAGTAAAGAGCATCAATATAATGAAGAATTTACATTAACTAATGGGCAAAACAGCCAGCTAACATTAAATGGCAGTATTAAACTCACATGTATTATTATTAATTCTAAATTTAAATCGACTAAATCTTCCAATCCAAAGACACAGACAGGCAAATTGGATAAAAAGCCAAAACCCATCGGTATGCTGCATCCAGACCCATCTCACATGCAAGGATACACAAAGACTCAAAACAAAGGGATGGAGAAAGATTTACCAACCAAATGGAGAGCAAAAATAACTAAATAAACTAAAAGCAGGAGTTGCGATTTTTGCCTCTGATAAAATAGTCTTTAAGGCAACAAAGATCAAAAGAAGCAAAGAAGGACATTATATAATGATAAAAGGATCAATGCAACAAGAAGAGCTAAAGATCCTAAATATATACGCACCCAATACAGGAATACCCAGATATATAAGACTTATAAAGAGACCTAGACTCCCACACAATAATAGTGGGAGACTTCAACATTAATATTAGACAGATCAATGAGACAGAAAATTAACAACGATATTCAGGACTTGAACTCAGATCTGAAACAAGTAAGCTTAATTAACATTTATAGAACTCTCCAATTCAAATACAGAAAATATTCACTCTTATCAGTACCACATCATACCTACTTATAGGTTTAAATGAAATATTGGTTGGCTGCTTGTTTGTTATTTTCTTCCCTCATTTTTTTCATGTCTCCATTATTAAGCACAATTACAGGCATACCCATTTTTAGACTGCATTCTACCCCGGGCAATAAAGCAACACCCCCGATCTCTCTCC